TCCTTTCTACTTTGCCAAAGGTGGCTCAAAAATGTCTTCCCTAGTCTGTCTATCCTAACGATATCCCTTCCCGCCTTTTCAACCCACCTCCTATGCCCCACTACAGCTACCGTCCTTTCCTCTCTATTCCATGCCTCAAACATCTCCCTGTACGTTCCATCTATTTTCCCAGCTCAGTCACGTCGGGAGGGGGGGGGGGAGTAAACTCGGTTCGTCATTCGAAACTTCGAATCGGGCATCACCAGCCGTCTGACCCCATGACAGGGATGTGGAACACACACCAAACGATGGAGTAACAATCGCCGCAAACCGCAAAAACGTCGACAGTGGAGAGTGGACTCATCTGCAACGCATGTGTGAGGTATCACCGGGGCTCGTTAGCGCGAACAAGTCGCATGTATCACCGCTGAACCCTTTGCGCAGGCAAGGAAGAGCTACGGAAGAAGTCTGTGTTCGGGTAAGGTTGGACATCATCCACAGTATGATGCTGGCCATCACACCCGCGTCGGCACGCCACTGCAAAACCACGTTGAGGATGCGGGTGCTTGTAGAAGGATTCAGCAATGCGTGCGCAAGCAGCGCGCCCTGTGCATCCCTCTAGGTGGAATGACGTCATCGTCATCACGCACATCGATGAGATGACAGCAGCATTGCACAATTAGCGAATGACAACCAAATGTGTAACCCCAATGACCGAGTGTACATGGAACCCGAGGTGTGTAGCACACAAACACGGTTGAACTCATGGTGGGAACAAGAAGACTAAGGTCCGTTCGTGTCTACTCACGTTGAGATTCCAAGTTCCGCATGTACTGCTGTAAACAGCAGTTGCACCGGATAAGTCTGACAATCGAATGGATTTTAGTTACTATTGTTTCTTTCTCTCCTGTACATACCCAGACCAAAAATGAAACGCACTCATTGCGCGCAAGAAAGTGCATCGACTAAAGCTAAAGGATAATTTGGGATGAATTCGGAATGTTAACGAACCTGCCTGTGTTTGTACTTTTTCCCGAGCAAAGAGTTAGGTGGCTTGCCTCCCGGGGGTGACGCCATAGGGCAGGGTCATGGTCATCGCGCTTGCGTCGTTGCCTCTCAACGTCATCACGTTCGGCGGTGAGTGCCGTTTTTGAAAACAACCTGCAAAATTTGCCTGGGATTTTGCATTATGTGCGTTTTTTTCTATCTATTCGCGTGTGCGTGATAATGTTTGTCTTTTAGGCTCGTGACGTCTTTGCCGCAGGTCCTAAAGCTGTATTCCGCTGCGTTTGATCATCATATGTATACGCGCGATAGGTCACCGCCGCCCGATTCCACGACACTGCAGAGCAGTTTTTTGTACTTTTTTGCGCAGGCTTTCTTCGCGCGGAGCACGTCCCCGACTATCCACTTCAAATCAGCGCTCACAGCATTAGTGCCCTTTACTCCATCCCGTGGTCACACAGAGGGGTTCCGCTCCCTGAAACCGCCTACCCACCCCTCCTGCGGTGTTTTGCCTTCGATTTTCAATGCGAGAAGAGCGCAGCACTCTCTTTCCTCTGTGCGCACACGAACTAGCGCTTTTCACCCAGGCCAGGAACGGAATTGAGAGAAAAAATCACTTTGCAAGAAAAGCTCGCTTACGCCAGGATTCAACCCGTGACCCTGGCCACTAGAGGTTTACCAACTAGCTACCGGGGCGACCGGCAAAAAGCCAGCTTTTTTTATTATATATATTTTGGGCGTCAAGCACAAGCGCCACTGGTGACTGGTGGTCCTCGGGCGTGCGCGGAAAATTACCGACGATCCCTTTGCGTGCCCCTGAGAAGGAAGCGTGAGAGTAGACTCGCTTCTGCTAACGAAACACATCCCAAAGCACGGAAACAGGCGAAATGGTGCACATACAACAGTGATACGAATCACAACCACCCTACTGACATACATAGTGCTCCATTTATCGTGTATTTTTTGCACCGGGTTGCAAATCAATCCGTCAGAGTGCAAAAATGGTGTGTACGGTGTGTTCAACGCGAGAAATTGCCGCATTGCGCCCTTGCACGTTAGTACGGGCATACGCCCGCCCGCACCCATGGCCATGTTCCTCGCGGGTATCAACACTACAACTACTGTGGGTTTATCTCGAATGAGTAGTCTTTCTGTGTATTCATTTGTTCTAATAAAACTATGAGACCGGGCGGTCAGCTTGGGTGTCGGACTACGAACTGGCTGTGGGCGCAGGGAGAGGGATATAAGATGGTTAGAACTAAAAGTTGGGATATTTCGAGTGGAAACGTAGAAACAGGCCGCACACGTGTGGACGTTCGCTGTTGAAATTGTGTGGAGATTGTGAAACATGCGAATGTTTGATGTTCGGACAATGCGCTGCCTGGCACCAGGTGAGATATGTCGAGGGTGCCTCTGTCGATGGTGTAGATTTTGGGGCCAAAAGAAGAGCAGCTGAAGAAAGCCGTGAACAAGACGGACAAGCGTGTGTGGTGTGTCTCCTAAATGCGGTGCATTATTTTTGGCTCACATAAGTGTTGCGTGGTTGCGACGCTCACCCTCTCCGTCACAACATGCATGCATGACCTACTGCTGATGCTGCTACAAGCAATTGCCTCACTGCACGGGAGCGTACGCATATGTATGAGAGGAAGAGCATGATGGGGGTAATCGTTCAGTACGCAGGCCTGTAGCTGCGAATGGCTGGGACCGGCGCGTATGCTGCGGAAACACGCTCAAATACTAATCTCCGCACCAGCGGCTGTTGTGCGATCGCAAAGCGAATGATACTGCGCAGCTCATTGTACTGCCGTTCTCATATGCACAACTGCTGCTGTTATGGTAAAACCAACTATATAATAAATAGTTCCTTTTTCGGAAAAACTCCGCTGGGTCACACTACGTTAACACAGCTGTTGTAGAGCAGTCCCAATCACACGCCGAACGCAACCAAAGTCGTCAGTGAAGCGAGCGGACATTGTCGGTACTACGCTTTCGTGGTGTTCACACGGACAAATCGCGCGTAGACACCCGTGGAAACCTCGCTTCTACCTGTAGACCAGGGGGCGTGCGATCGGCTGTGGCAGGAGCCAAGGAGACACTTTACAAGAGACGGAACAGCGACGACGTTTGTTATGTACCTACAGAGGCAGCAGTGGCGCAGAGGCAGAAGACACAGAGCACAACACCGCCAGAAGCACGACACAAATATGGAGCATGCACCAATGTCGACGCCCGCGTTTGAATCCATACGGGATGCGCATGTCTGAAAGAGCTCTTCGGGCGGGGCTTCGGGGAGCTGAACAACGGCTGTGTAGCGCGCTGCCTAACCCGCGTCACCCAGGTTGTAATTATATAGCGGACTAAAACCACCCGCATCATCACCAGCAATTGTGCACATCATCGACTAGAAGACGTGCGCACTCTTCAATCTCCTACCTACCAAGCGATAGTCAAGCACTCTCTCATCCGTCCTCTCTCTTTGCATCTCCGCTCGCCGCACACGGGTGCTAGCTTTGCCAGGTGGGTTATTGGGAGAGCATCCCACAACGCCTGGCCAATTCATCCCACCATCCACCAAAGCAAGAAGCGCACTTACCTCGATTATCACAGCCAGGATCCCGTCCTGTGTTGGTATCACGCCACCCTCGCTTCCTGCCCCGTCTTTCCTTGCTCCTCTCTCCTCTCTCTCTTGCTTCCTTGGTTCCGTGGCCATTGACCATTGGCCTTGACCATCCCTTGTCGCGACCTGACAGTCACGCGCGGGTCGAACCTTTCAAAAAAAAAAAAGCTGTTTTCCTCTCAGATGAGAACAAACTGCTGTTCAACCAAGCATATGTGACATGCACACAACGCCCCATAGCACCAAAGGTTGCCGAAGGGGGATTGACGCTTGCACGGCAGCTCCGAGAGCACTACTTTGGGCCGAGATCGAGGGAGCTCAGGTGACAGGGCGTGCAGCTCCTCTTGTCTTGTTTGTACCCTATACTGCTTCCGCACAATCAACCACATCATCAACGCGCTGGCTCTCTGCCGGCTCTACATTGAGAGCGCTCACTTGCATTCCACAAACCTGTCGCGCCTCTAGGAGCGAGGTGCGCCTGGGATGTTCGTGTTCGAACTTTCGTACGCAAAAATAAAAGCGCTCTTGGTGTGTTGGTACCGTAGTGCACCTGCTTTCCATCTTCATCATGCATGCATGCATGTTGCTGTTGTCGGCCCAATCGGTTCTTCCCCATGCAACGATAGCAGGAAGGTTGGATTGAACACTCTGGAGGCGCAAAGGCTGTCTGTTCGTGTGAAAGCCCCATCGCATTCACCTCAATGTTGGTAAATGAGTCCATTTTAACGTTGTCATGAAAGTCTCGATGCCAGCAAATTGCCCAGTTTTTGTCCTCGTCGCGTCGGTGCAGTCGCGGCTGGCGGCACATCCATCCAACTTATAATCGAAAAATTGCAGATCGTGTTGGCGGTTCTGTAGTCCCGGGGCGACGCGACGTGATCCGGGATCAATGGATGAATGCGAGGCTGAGCAGGGTCTGGCTGGGGTGGATGAAGGCAGAACGAGAGACTGCGGTGAGGCCTACAGAGTGCAGTGCCTGCTGAAGTTAGCAAGAGTTTTGATTTGCCGGAGAGCAGGAGTACATGGGGAGTATAGTGTGGACTGTACATGCCGCGGCCGGCGGCCTTATTTTTCAAGTGTCCCTTGCTTGTTTGGGATGTGAAAACACGCCGTTTTTAGGAGTTAGATCTTGGAACTTCGCACACATGTACCTTGAGTCAGTACGAAACTTTGGATGGAGGGGTCTTTCTTTTTTTACCCTCCTATCTATCGCCGAATATTCGGGGTCCTAGAGGTTTCGGGGTCGTATGCGGCTCCTGGGAACCAGGATGTCCGGCGATAGGAGCAAAAAATAAAAGACCCGTCCATACAAAGTTTCATACTAACCCAAGGTACTGTGCAGAGTTTCAGTCTAACTCCTAAAAACGGTGTCAAGTTTTCAGCTTTTGTGCCATCAAGTATTGCGCATCCTGATTTTCCCCCAAACTACTTGATTAAAGACAATAATCGCATCTGCGGGGCCTCAAAGCCCTGGAAAGAAAGGGTCATTGAACTATCCCGGAGCAGAAAAAAAAGGGGTACATATTCATACAATTTGGAACTGGCTTTCAGGGGTCCACACGGGGACCCCACAACGCCGGTCAGGACTGCAAGCATCGTCTCATTTTTTTTTTGCAGTTTGCGGAACTATGTTGCATCATGCTATCAAAATCTGAGGGCTTTTCAATAGTTACTTAGATACATACAAGGCAAACAAGCACGAGACTCTCTGTGTATCCCATGTACAAACCGTCCATGGAAATCTGACGAAGCCGTCGCGGCAGTTGTCCCACCATTTTTTGCATAACTTGCCTCCACGATGATCGTTTTCATTTGTTTTTTCTTTTTTATATCCCCTAGACCATGGGAATCGTTTTGGTGCAAAACTGCGGCAGAAAGAGGTGGGAAGTGCGGGGTTACATGCATTTTTAGGTATATATCATGTTGAAGGCTTCTGATTGGCGGAGACACATTTATGCCTATAGCATTGTGGCCACGGCACTGATTGAAATTCCGGCCACGGCGATTTATTCCGTTGGTTATAGGGGTCACTACGATACAACCTATGTCAAACTTGTGTACGTATTTCGCCTGGTAGGTGTGGTTGAACGAATTTGGGTTCATTTCCCTGAACCAGCTTGTAAGGATTTTTTTTCACAAATTGTCAGTGTTTCTTGGACTTTTTTTTTTAAGATATGCATGCGTGGAGAAAACCCGGTAATTGCGCGATCCACACAGATTTCCACGGCTGAACAGCGAACATGTACCCTTCTACCGGTGTGTCATTGGAGGTCACGGGGGCTGAAACGCACAGGACATACTTGTATGTACTGCTATGTTGCGTGTGATGTGCGCAACCCAACACAGTACACACCTTAGAATTTTCAACCATTCAATTTAACTACCTTCAGTTTGCGATTCGGGCCCCGGCACCCACTGGGGGCGTCGGGGTCCTTCAATCCCCTAGTCTTTGTTCTATTGCAAATGTTATGAATTTGTGCTTACGCTGTCGTGACCCGCTCCGCGGACGCCCACGGATGACATCTTCACGGAAAAATCAGCCGTGACCTACGTGCGTCCATAAATGATATGATGATGGCTCAAAGAGCACGCACGTGTCTCCGTGGACGCCCATGATTTCCCTTCCGTGTTATGAGACTTCGGTGCACATGGGTAGGGCCCCAGGGAAGCTCGTAGACCCACTGCGGACGTATCGACGATATCCTCGTTGGTGGTATGAGTGTTTTTGTTTTTTTTCTCAACAAGTGTCTATGGAAACACCGCGACTGACTCGGTCGCCGCCATCTTCAAGTCATCCCCTCGTACACAATCTTCAATCTTGATACGGTAAAACGCTTGAGCACTCACAAATTAAGGTAAATAAAAGTCAGGCCAGTAGTCATTGCTGAGTCACTCACGGCATGTTAACACCTTTGTTGGTGGGTGACGGTGGTCATTCTCCGACGATGTTTGCAACCCTATGTTTCCGCAGATGGCGAGCCTAGCACCCCTCGGACGTCCTCTGGCGAGTTGGCGGGACATCTAAATGACTTGGTGGAAGCGTCAGCGAGAGACGCGGACAACCAAGTGTGACTCACCACGTTTCAAGTTCTGTCTCGTATTTTCCCCGAGAGAAACGGCTAACGAATCCGATCGTTTCGTAAGTTGGGGGCTCTCTCGCCTCAACTCATGCTCGACGCGACCTTCCGTTTGCCTCCGAAGACTACCACTCCCACCCATGCTCTCGCCCTGAAGCATTGTCCCCCCCGCGGCTAAGTCCTCTAACCTACTCGCCTTGCAAACTCTACGTTCCGTCTCAGCCCCTCCGAACATAGCATGTCGGTTTTATCTATAGATCTCCGTGGCTCGAGTCTCATGCAATGTTGACGGTAGCGCATGCTGCAGAATGCCAACACCAACACAGCGCTGGCAGAACATCTTTTAAGCGTATTCGACCACAGCGACAATCCCCTACTTCTTCCACAGAAGTTCGAAAGAAGTCGCTCTGCCCGCGCAAGGAAGCGTTGAACCCGCAACCCTATCTTTTTTTCTCGAGGTGGCCAATGTCGTTTTCGTGAAAACACACAAGACTGGGTCTACTACTCTCGCGGCCGTTTTCTACCGCTACGCGGTGCGACACAAGCTCAAGGTGAGAGAAGTTGGTGTCGCTGTTGTTTTCCCCGCCATTATCTCACCCGGAGCGAGAGTTTGATGTTGTTTGTTTTGCGCTTGTTCGACGGACAACGGCAAGCATGGGTGCGTCTGTATGGTCTCCCCACCTGAAACGAATGGCGGGATATCTACTCTCCGAGGCATACTCGGTGTTCAATTGCAGCTCCGGGCATCAACAATAAGAAGAAACATCGACTTAGTGAAAGTCGCGATCATGCAGTACTGCGGTGTCCAAGGCATTGGGACATGTTCAGGACTGCGCAAGTAGGCAACGGTCACCAATCCCTCACGCACTCGCTTTGGAGAGATTTCTTTTTCAGGATGAAACCTTGAGCACAGCGAAGCGCCATCTACCGTGATGGTGATGTCGCTTTGCGCATCACAGTTTCGTCTTAGTTGGGCCGTTCGACGTACTGTTCATCTCTCATACACGCACGCAGGGAAGGCACATTTCCGGAGATTTTTCGTATTGTGCAACCGCAAGGTTTTTCGTCTGCGCCGTCCTGCGTCAAGGCTGACCCAGCGCTTGTTGACGACGAAGTACTCTCGAAGGCTCTCGCGGTCAACTCGAATCCCAGTTGTCTTGGTCGTCCACAAATTTTGGAGGTGTCTGGACCCAACAGCGAAAATTATTTTGTTCGCTGCCATTCTAATCCATCTCATCGGCAACGCCCCAACGCTTCGCACATCATCCTGGTCTTTTTCACTGAATTTTCGCGGCCGTTCACCGCTTGAGACACGCCCTTCGTCGTTTCTCGGGATCGTTATTTTGTCTGCGACGGCACCGATGGTCCCCATTCTTAACGGTCCTCTTGGCGCTTGCCGGGCGCGTAGCTGGCGCACTTCGGAAAGGGAAAAGGGACGATCGCCAACCTCAAGAAGGCAGCCACTCAGGTTCGGGTTCAAAGCCATGCCGCTTCCGACCCGAAGCAAGCATCTTGATCATGACGTTTGGTGTTCGTGCATGCTGTACGCTCCGATATGGCACGGTACAAACTATTCTTTACGTTTCAAAAGCTGTTGTAGACGAGTTTTCGGTCCATGAAACTGTCTGTTTCTCCCAGGGTCGGCTCAATCGGCCGCGTCGGTGTGCACCCAAAGTGAAGTGGATCAACGCTTTTCATCGGGGCCTTCATCGATCACCTAGCGGCTATAGTACTCGGGCGTTGTACGTATTCAGAATGCGCCAAAAGAAAAGATTCCGGCGGGGAAGAGCTTGGGGCCTACAATACAGCGATAGAGTCTTGACCGATAAGTAAAGTTGCTCATGTAAAGACTCTCATTCTACAGCCTATGTCGTCGCTACTAGGTTGCCCGACAGAAAAACAAAAAACGAGATTCGGACAAAATAACGAGATTCGTAGCGTGTGGCGCGCTCAGTACGCCTTGTGCTCTTCTCGACCGATCCCATCAGACCAGGAAAAGCGGAGAACTCGTTGACGTCATGCACTACCACATCTCCCACAGCGGCGAGTACACGGGCACATGGCCCCAAGCGGAGAACTACTTCCGGAGGATCATGCGGCATCCAGACAGCATCAACTACGTGACGGTTTTGCGGGAACCTCGATCACATCTTCTCAGGTACATGCCTATTTCTGATACGGTACTGGGTCTTGTGGGACATACGCACTATGCAATCCAATTTCCCACTGGTTTGAACTTCCAGGCGATTCACCGTCGCTTGAGGAACGGACGATTTGGGTTCCATCGCCCCACGAAGCGTGCGAGGCTTGCAATGTTTCCCTTTTGCCTGTTTGTAACGTGCACGCAACACTCGACAGCCCATCGGTAAGATAGCTCGGCAAAACACTTAGTCTAATGATCCGCACCCACACCCCAATCTACCCCCCCCGTAGGACCGAAAAAAACAAAAAAACAACAGTTTCGATGGTTACTTTCGTCGGCAAAACGTCAAAGTGAGAAAAAAAAAATCATTTCTCCTTGTGGCCTCGTCTACCTATCCTGCTCACGATAAGCATCGCGTGTAGCTGCTGCTGCATGCAACCCGGTGGCACCGCGGGCGACACAAAGCTGGCATTGTTGGGCGCACGCGCAAGGAGAAGGGGGGGGGGCACAACCCGTTGTATCTCCCCCCCCCCCTTCATGTGTTGGGGTACGGAGGCAGTAATCTACGCCCCTCTCTGACGGTTCCAAGTCGAACCTGTAAGTNGGGGGGGGGGCACAACCCGTTTTATCCCCCCCCCCCCCTTCATGTGTTGGGGTACGGAGGCAGTAATCTACGCCCCTCTCTGACGGTTCCAAGTCGAACCTGTAAGTGTATGGGTCTAGAAAACACTTTTCGGGAGAAGCCAGGATAGGGGGACCTTAAGTGAAGACAAAGACAAAGTCCAAGGTTGCGACCAAGGGGTTGCGATCATGTCCAATGTGGAAAAGAGGAAATCGTCCGCGACAGACATGGGAGATTGTACCCTTCATGAACGAGATCTCGACGTAACCCCCCCCTGTTTTGAGTCTTCTTGGTTGCTAGGCACGAAGGCCTCCAAGGGCACCAGGAACCCGACCGGTTAGGCGATGGGAGATTGTGCCCTTTTTGAAGCGGGCCTCCACACCTACAATACCCGAATATTAGCGAACGAAAAACACATGCGGGGCAATAGGTACACTTTCGTCCCCTTTTGTCGGCCTTGGGGCACTCCCATGGAATCCACGACCTCCTCTTCAGTCATCTTGTGGCGAAAGGCTTGCATTTTCTTTGGGCTCTCGTCTTGCCAGTACCATCGATCGGCAGGGTCGTGACTTTGTGACTTATGTGACCCTTCAATCCGCCCCTATCCCACGTCCCCACTCTCACGCCCCTTGCAACGTGCGGTGTCAACCGGGGTTGCGAACGCCAACGGTGTTGGTCGCTGATGACTCCCCACCAGCTGCTACTATTTCTACATATTTCCGGAATGCGAGGTTAGGCAATACCCTTCATTTTTATTGTGTTCAGGCTGGACATGCTTCGACGCCGGAGTTTGGTTTGTTCTGCACCGTGCTTGAGCTGGCATCTTCTCGCACGTCGTTGTCAGTCGCTCGGCGGTGAAGACGCGAGGATCCTACATGCCTACCCTTCCTTACTAACTGGTCCACCCATGGCACGTTGGCTTGGAAATCGGCAGCGATGACCAAGATCTCCGCCGACACCATGGGGGGGGATAAGATATTTCGGCTTGTTTCCAAATTGGCAAATACCTTGAACCAGGACCTTCATCAATCTATCTCCCATTGGCTAGATGTATATTACTACGTGGATCCAAGAGTCCATCTGCCCTTTCCTCGCGAAGTTTTGATATGCTAGGACCACTTTTTATCACTGCGCTAGCTATCCATCGAGGACTACTTGATGGACCCGGCCCACGCCGGAGACGAGAACCGGCACCGCCTGCGCAACCCTCTGTCGGCCGAGTTCGGGGTGAAGACGGCAAAAGAGATGAACACCTTCATCGTAAACCACCTTCCGGACTTCAAGCTGGTGAGCTCATCCCAGGCTGGACTGCGTTGCGGCTTTTCCCCCGGCGGGCATTGATGTAGCCCACCGGAGGTTGTGTCTTGTCTCTTGCTAGCCCTCCACACCGGTTGAAAATTCTCGGCACTAGGCACGAGAAAGAAGCGGCCGCTAAGGTGCGCTCCGAATAGGTTGGCCCGCATTCGCCAACGATCGACGATCACGCGTCGCTAGAGCATCTACGATGGGTGTGACCGCTTTGGTTCGAGATCACGATCAATTGTTTTTCCGATGTTGCTCAGTCAGAATTTGTATATGTTTTCGCGAAGCTACACACCGATTCGAAGCCTGCGTGCAGGCACGAACCCCGCGAAATGTAGGTGGTTCGGTTCAAGGAAACCCGGTCGGTGAAGATCACTACCAACAGTGTGAAAACCTTTCAAGTGCCGGTTGCATGTTTCCAACAGTACCAGAGCTCGGCTTTCCCTTCCTCCAAATCCCCAAATGACTTGCTTGCGCAGGTCATGCTGACAGAGCGAATGGACGAGAGCCTGGTGCTTCTGCGAAGCCTGCTCGGCTGGCACATGATTGACGTTACCTACGCCTCCCTCAACGCGACAAGAGCGGGTGCGAGACGTTACGATGGCAAGCCGTTGATCGATCGCCCCGACTTCTGCCACCTTTCCGAGGAGGTACGGTTGCTAAGGGACTTTCCTGTGTGTTTGTTTTTCCTTTTACTTTTGACGTGCATGGGGTCGATTCATTCCCTGTTGACGTTGCGCAACGTTTTCGCGAAGCTTGTGTGTTTCAAAAGCTGCGCAGCCATGGATTTCGTGTACGATACATGGTCTACGTGTATCGGTAGTGTCGTAGGCACACATCTATTAACGAGAGACCAACATATCAAACTGATTTCCGAGGTCGACGACGGTGGTACCGCAGAACGACAAGGTATGTATGTCAGCGACCCGGCCGAGCACACGCGGGACGAGGCCAGGAGTTTCACCTGCAAGTGCATTGTTGTTCATGGCCCTGGGCCTTCTTGTACAAGTATTGATGTCACTTCTTGTGCTAGTCGCAGGCGACTTGTGGTGGGGGATGGTCGGCGGTAACTCCACCTGTTTCTGATCATCTGCCGGCGAAATATGTGCTCCTCCGATGCCCATCGTTTCAAGAGTAACCTTCATTTTGGCGGCATGTGACGCCTCTACACTATTAACTCGCTCCATTTGATGCTGAAACGGGGGCTCTTCGATGGTTCTTTCGCAGGTGCAAGCCAGGATCGACGAACTGACCATCCTAGACCAAGCCCTCTATGACGCGGGCAAAAAAGAATTCGAAAAGGTACAGTGCTTCCCAGGTTGTTTCCAGTTCACTTCAAGCAGGTTTTTAGGGTTCTGATACAGTCGATCTCGCTTAAGGACACCAACATCAAGGGAACTCCCCCGGATAAGGACATGGTGCGGCGCAGAATATATTATGAAAGGGGGGTTTCAATTACATTCCGCGGACCCCCTTCAAACAGCAGTTCGCAGCGCCCCTGTAGACCGCAGACTTGCCGCAGAGAGGTCTGCTGCTGCATGTGGCTCTCCGTAGAGGACGACCTTAGCGTGCTGGAAGAGGCGGTAGCTATGGAACTGGAGATTTCGGAGAAGAATCTCGCAAACTTAGAGGTTGATGATGGTTCCTCTGACGATGAAGATGATGGGGGCAGGCCAGAGTCGTGCATCACATCTTCGATGACAGAGGCCGAAGTTCGCAGTAGCCTAGAGAAGGTTCACTCCTACGAACGGAAAGGGTGGGGAGTTCAGTACCAAGTTTCGAAAGTTGTGCATTCGCTCACTCACGAAACGCAAGTCAAGCGAACGAGCTAAGGATGAGGGGGAGCTGCATGTGGGCGGGCTGCAGGCAACTCTGCGCGACATGTAGAGGTCGTAGTGTGTGGAGTTTTTGGACCAACGCCATGTTTTGGGTGGTCTATATATGTCTTGAACGCGTGGCAACATATGAGATTGGCGCACAGGAGTGGTTGCAGTGTGCGGTTGATCAGAGTTCTGCAAAGTGAGCGCAAGGTTCAGGCGTTCACATGACATCCTGGTTGTAGTGTTCAGTCAAAAAAAGTGACATGAAAAAACAAATCTTCCTTCGACTTTCTGGCCTCCTCTTTCGTGCAACGAATACTGGACCCCAACGCGCGTCTGTTGGCGCATAAACCGCCTCTGTTGGCCGCGGGTGTGGTGAGTTGTGGTCCCCTGAACTTAAAGGGCACTCCGCGGCTTCAGGACACTTTATTTTGCGAAAAACCACGTGTGTCCTTAAGCGAGGTTCGACTGTATCGACACGTGGATCGCCAAGGTCGTGCTCAAAATAGGTTCTGATTTTCCTTGCCGTGCGAAACCTTTACTTCCTTCGTGTCCATCCCGTCTCGCAGCGGTTGTCGAGCACGTCCACTTCATTTCAAGCCGAACTGGCCGGCTTCCAAGAACTGCAAGACAACGTTTGCACTTACCTGGAAGGGAACTCATCGGGCTTAGCCCGTGAGATGTAAGAGGGCCAATAGGAGAACCAGTAGTATCACACGTTCTACATATATATATAGTGTCCTGATGCAGTATTGTCTCTATTAGCTAAGATATCAAGAGGTTACATCCCCGAGGAAGTTTCGTGCGGCGGAATGGGTGTCGCCTACAGCAAATAACGTAACGCAAACTGCTTGAGATGCGGACCGGTTTGACAACGTGGCCGTCCGCATGTCCTCTGGCGGTGGCTGTCTGCCCGATGTTTTTTTTGCTGTTTTACCCAGGTATCGAAGCATGGACGCGGTCTACACGGATCCCCCCCCCGCGTATCATTTCTGATGCACGGAGTGCTCTCCTAAGGAGCATGTGTATCTTCCCGAAACGCGATGACGTTTTCGAATCTTAAGTAGGAGTAATCCGTTTAGTGGCTGATCATGGTTGTGGAAGGGAAAACGCACGCGAGCATGACAACTTGTCGAGTCACACAGGTAACTGTTGTGCTGGTTGTCTCCGTACACTTGCGCGTTAGGTTCGGCGTAGGACAGATGGGCAGTGTGCACAATGCGCCATTGGCCATTTTCCCGCACCATAGTACTGTTAGGGGTGCCAATCGGTCAAATTTCCTATAGGAAAAAATTTCAAAAAGTGACCTGGATCTTCCAGATGGAAAATCGCTCGAGCCAATCAAATCACATAGAACGCTCCTGAGCAATGCTGCACCCAGCGGCGCTCGCCGCCTCGCGCTGTCTACTTTCGATCAACTCCTGCTCCTTTTCTACCAGCGCTTTCTGCGCGACGGCAACACCGCCCCTTTCGACCGCGCGCTGTGTGTGCGCTGCTCCGGCCGCGTCGGCAAAGGTCCGCCCCTCCCGCTCTATGTATTTGCGTTCGTTTTTCTTGAGGTTGCGACGAAATCGATTTTTTCCTCCCGCGCCGAAGGCCGAGCGTTTGCGTTTTTGGGGGACCTCGACCGCGGTGGTTGGCGTGCTTGACTGGCCATTTTCAGACACGCGGTTCTCGCTGGTAGTTTGTGCGATTCTAGTTCGGTTTCTTGCGTTGTGTCGCTGAAAACCCGAGGCTGTCCGCTGCGGATCCGCTGTTCTACGATCACCAAACGCGGCCACGAGCGTGAGCCTTCAAACCGAATTTCATAGGGTTATCTGTGTTGTTCGCCCGCCCTTTGAACGTCAGTAGAAAACGAACCCGCAGTCACGTGTAGATGACCTGTCTCCAGATGTGTGTAACGTATGAAGAGCCAGATCGCTGCCTGGACGTAGGGACTGTTGAACAAACATACGGAGGATAAAGTATACTTTGATCGGTATGATTTCAAGAGCTGAGCTGAGAACCAACAATCCGCGTGCCCCCCCTTTTTTCCCAAAATCCTCGAATAGACCGGTCACTTTTTTGCCGCCAAAATCGGCCCGATTGGCACCCCTAACTGTAGTCTGGTACTATTTCCTTCCACGTACTGCAGGACACGACACACGAAAAACCTGGAGTCCTTCAGTAGGGAATGGAAGGAAATTGCATTTGTTGTTCACTTTCCTTGAGTTGGAGGTTTCGAGCAAACAAACCCGCGGGACTTTAGGCGGCATCACATCGCCCACATTGATTACTACCATACCTCGCAAAGTTTGAACTCGACTGGTGCCTCCGGCGGTAGAATTGGCTGTGTCGGTGTTCCACTATCTGTACACGAAACAGAGACGAAAAATGTCTTCCGTTTTTAATGAGATGGACCTGCTGCTGTAGGTCGTAAGTGAAGCCCAATTCACCCCTGAACCAGTCCGGCACTCCCTTCAAGACTGAGATGGCAATGCCCCTTAGACTAATCTTCTCTCCCAAGCCACACCCACTTGGAACGGAAATCTTAGCAGCTAATCGCACCCATCTCGGCAAACGGATCCGTTCACAACAGGCGCATTCACCGGCTTCATGGATTGCCATTCTTCGATTTTTCGAAGCCCGCCAGAGGCTATATTGTCGTATTTTGTATTGGTCCACCGGTTGGCACGGTCGACGCCGTTGAAATGAACACACAATTTGTAACGGCGGCGCCTACTCTAGTGGCACGCCTTTCGCATGGCTATGATCCCGCCGCAGTTTTTCTATCGCTGTTGCACACACCGTCATCATCCCCACCCTCATCCCTACCTTCAAACTCCCTTCCTGCAAGGTTCCGAAGGTAAGCCATCTGCTATAATAGCTTTGTTGGTAAGGGTCTTCTCATTCATACATAGTATACGTCTTGGTTTGTCCGCAGTGCGCCGCCTGAGAGGTATGCACCTGTTGCTTCTTCTTTAAACTGGAATTACGTAAGTGTTACTTGAGTATGGTATTCTATTGCATGCGGGGTGTGGATTCAGGCTGTCCAGAACGTAGCAGTAGGCACTACGGATGCGCCTTCATAGCATGCCCGGCAGATCGTCACCCTTCTGTCAGAACACCCCATCCTCCGGAGGTCTGCATGCATGCATGTTTCTCGGTTTCGAAGAGCATGATGTCGCATCTGAAGCACATCACAGAGTGGAAGACGGCAAACCGAGGGTGACTACACTTGTCTAGGCACCGTACATACAGCAGTATTGCCTTCTTCGGGACCTTCCGACTCAAATAACCCTCTAATCTACGTACATATAGAGATGCAGACTAGTCCGCGGGCAGAGTTTTTTTTTCCAAAAACCGTTTTCTCCAAAAAAAGCGGACAAACCTGGACAAACACCTATTTTTTT